GAAGGACGTAATAGGAAAACAGTAATAATTTTGAGATAACTTGTAGCAAATCGGGCAAAATCGGTATTTCGGCACTTTTCCAGCCCATCCTACAGCATTACATTATCTTTCTGGCCATCGCACTACGAGAGATCGCGTTCGGTATTACTCAGAATTTTAATCATACAATTTGTGGAAGGAGGAATACTGATAGCTTCGGGGACAAAAGAGCAACACAACGATCACTTGCTTGTTTTTAGGGCGACACTGTCGATTTTTGCCCCCCCCCCCTATTGGTGATTTATCTAATATTACTATCGCTTTTTCTTTTTTTTTTCAATTTTCCACCCACCGATCGCTCTTCTCCGCACTTTCGAGAACCTGTGAGCATTCGGAATTGCAGACCGCCTTCCAGAAGTGAGCCCTGACGCCTGCTCTTTATCGGCGAATTCTTATAAGGTCTTAGCTGAGTTTCTGGGTCTCAGCTGGCAAGTTCCCGCATGGCCAGCTACTTCAGTAGCATGCACAACGGCAGCACAAAGCAAAGCGAACCAGCAGATGCCGGACCGAAGACAAGAAGCGCTTCGATGAAGATGTATTTAAAAATACGGATGGTGCTCTTCAGTCTCCTCTTAGTTAATCACAACATCTGCCACTACATCACTTACAAAGCAAGTGAAGAGTACCGAGAACTCAGTTACACAAACGAAATACGGCTCTAGGTCAAACTCCGCCTCCGACATCTTGGCACCATAGCTAAACAGGCATTACAGGGCGCGAGTGACCTGATGGAACATATGATGGCAGCCCAGAAATGTGGAAAAATTCTCGGCTAGGTGCAGGTGTCTTCTGAACTATGTCAGCAGCTAGAAGATCACCGTGCGACATGGCACGGCATTTCCTCGCAGACTATGCGACCCAGCTTTCCGGATAAATTTCCTCCACCAGAATTTAGACCAAAAATGTACAATTTCAGCGTTGCGGCTAAGCAATTTCTACTGGCCGTGATCTCCGGAGTTTTCCTGGAGGCGTCGACGATGATGCTACCCAGTGGATGCTTAGAGAGTGGAGGGAAGGTATGTCTACCCTTGCTTCACTTACTACTCTTTGCTTTACTTACACATATAAGTATTTCCAAAGCAAGTGTATCACCCAATCGAGACTGTAGTGACATCTTGACTGCGAATTGACTTTGACAATGACTTTCGGGGGCCAGCCGATGTATAAGCCAGCCTTTTTTCTGCTACGAAATGTGTGGCGCCAATTAAGCGACTTTGGAGAGTATGGAAACTTGACTGGCCTGGATGGCGCACCATCCAGGAATTGATTCGATCCGTGGACCGTACACATGGTAAGCAAACCCCACTAGTCACTGCACAACTTCCGTCCATAAAAGAAAAAAAAATAATGAAAGGATTTTCAGTTTATAGTACGCTTGCGCTTCACCCATTTGGATCCATTGAAAAGTCGTAAGAAATGTATAGACCTAGACACCAATTGGTATGCGTCGACGCATGAAACTAGTAATACACCTTCCCACATAAGCTTATTACTACTGAACGAGAAATCGGGTGTGGCAGCTTCGGCTGGAGCAATCGCGGTACCCACCTTGAACGCGACGGTCATTAACGATGACTTCTCATCCGAACAAAGCTAAGACAATGAACAAGGGCTTGCGCCTGTTTATGAAGATACATCACAGAAATATTTCGCGTGGGACTTCTACTAAGAATGGCACCCTGTGCGCAGAAAAGCTGGATCGGTCAACATCATGAGCCGAAAAGTTCTTTGGCCCACGCACTTCCCTCTATTAAACGCGGATGGATACGATAAGCCGAGCCTGCAAAGTTCTTTATGGAAGAGGCCTACATAGCCTACATGGCCTGAAGAGGCCTACTTCTGAAGAAGACTAGCCGAACTTTGTCATCCTACCCGAGAGCCCCGCGTTACCCAGTGCTCTGAATTCTGAGTGCTGTGAGCAAATACTGGAAACAATCGTACGAACAGTTGCTGCGAAAAGACAAAGAAAAAGTTAGGTTAATATTGCGATTTTTCCAACTTCACCCATTCAGTTAGCCAGTTCATTTCCCATTACGAATTTTTCAGACGTCAATCTGGCCTGCACGACTTTTCAATTTCTTCTCAGTTACGATCAACGTTGTTTTCTTTGCGCTTTCCAACAGACTCCGCGCCACTGCACAGGAGCTCGACAGCTGACTCTTCAACCGAACTTCTGACGGACGCCAGGTTTTACAAGGAAGTTCTACCTTCTTGACATCGTCAAATTGTCTCTGGTTACTGGATTCGATCACTTACTGATTTGTTCTCTTTTTCCTGTTGATAATAAAGTACTACAGTAAGCATGGTTTAAAGCTGCAACTACCACTAGCGCCATAAAGATGAGGTTTCCATGCGAGAAGCTAGAACTCTATCCGGTCCTTCGAAAAAATGCAAACATTTGCCCTATCTTTTTGCTTAAGCATGTGATGCTCGTATAGCAATGAAATGACGGCGGAATAATACTCATCAAATTTTGAGGATACGCCACTCGGCCATCTCCAAGTTAGAAACGCAAAACTAGTTGAATTTATCCACTTAATGGCACCACATACTAGAAGTTCAATTCTATGGTTGAAACAAGTGTTTTTACTATCCCTTTACTGTCTTTACCTTTTTGCTTTACTATCCCTGCTAGGGTATCTATCTATTCACTCAAGCAAAAGGGGTTTGCTGACAGTGAGGATCAGATCTCATAATCTATGTACGCGCGGAGCCTCTCTTGTTTTTGAGATTGTGCTGGCCGTGTCATCACCGCGGATAGACAGTTTGTGGCCGTTAGTGTTGACATCATCCCACCGCATATAGCGTCTCCGGGCGTGAAATGACATGGTTATCCATGCCGTGTCATTGCCCTTTACGGAAAGACGTTGGTGTGCTGCGAGTGCCGTGTCATCACCACGGTCAGACATCCAGCGCAATAGCGCGTCTCCATACGTGAATTGCATCAGATTATCCATCGTGGCCCGTCTTTCCCTTCGCCCGGTCAGAAGATGGCTGTGCTGCAAGTGCCGTGTCCTCTCCATTTTAGGATAACCTGAGCTTAGCGGTGCCATTAGTCCACGGCATCTAGGTACTAGCATCTACGCCGCTTGTATATTTTAACACGTTGACGACCGTGTGGTATGATGTCATACCACACTCTTTCGGCCACGTGGGACCGTGTGACATGATGTCATGTCACAGTCTTTTTTAAGCTGGTTTTCAAACATTTTAGGTAACTTATTTACGTGATGTATGCGCCATACTTAGGCATTGTTACAAAAGGCGTGGTCCCTGGAAAGAAGCTTCGGTTGATGGGCTATCGAGTTTTTCTAAAAATGTTTGAATAATGATCAAATCACAGGAATCGCTAAAATGGCCAAAATCGCATAATCGGAGACCTACCACACAAGAAAGATAACAAATACACACTTCCTGAGAAAAGGAGTTCTCGTGGGACCGTTTGACATGATGCCATGTCACACTCGCGCGGTCAAAATAATGCGCGCGGTCCCACACGCCAGACAGCGAAAAATAGCGCGGTCGTCAACGTGTTAAAATTCTTCATGCCGTTTTCATTCCCCTTTGCGGTCAGCACGTTGCTTGTTGCTCGTGAGTGCTGGTATCCCAGGGTCAAACATCCAACATATAGCGTTCTCTAGTCTGAATTTGCAAATTATCCATGCCGCTTCATTCGTTGCGGTCAGAAGTTGGACTGTGCCTGCCAAGCTTGCCGTGTCATCTCCATTTTTACATAACCTGAGCTTAGTAGTGCCATCAGTCCACGGCATCTACCAGCATCTACGCGCGTTGATATTCAAAATTCTCCATGCCGTGTCATTGCCCGTTACGACCAGGCAGGGAGATGTTCAATCTTTCCCCATTGCAATAGGACATTCGCAGCACAGCATACAAAAACCAGTCAGGGCCTGGGTATCTATTCATGTAGCTCTCAGACAGTATAGTAATCTGAGATGTCGAACTGGTAATGAATATGCGATTTTTTTAAATCATGTGAGAATCTGACATTTTCTAGGCTCAGCAGGCGTAATCCCTCCCGCCATGAGGAGTAGAGCAAACGCCACAATGATGAACCGATTGAAGTCAGCAAAGAAATCCTTAGATCTCTTAAGACAAGGTTCATGAGAGAGTTCTGAGATTTGCGGTGCGGTTACTTACATCAAGTTGTGATTAAAGGAAGAAGGCGCAACCAAGCGAAGTAAAAGAGGCTCACGTTTACATGAACGGGACGAGGTTGGGTGTGCCGCGTGGTGCCAGAATCAGCAATCACGGAAGGCATTCTTAACATTTGTTACGATTTCGGCCATCCAAAATTTTCCTCCCTTTAGCAGTGTGGCCGACATTGAAGCATGGAATCGGAAAAAAACAAAAACATGCTGAAGAAACAAATGAAAAAATTTGCGCCATGTACCATGCCACTAAAATACAAAAAAGGATCTGATTAGCGCAAGCATGCAAGCTGTTACTTGCTACGGACCACTACACGCGTTACAAATAATCAGCTTCAATATTAGCTTGTTAATCA